TCACGCTGGGTGTCAAAAAGGGACCCATGACGTCTGCGGACCATAACTGGCCGATTTCTGAGACGGGAATGCATTTCAAAGATTGGCTTGCTCATGCTGCTTCCCCTTGTATCAGCTGGTCGCGATTGCAGGACACCAAATAATCCATCACCTCACTTCTCATCCCGGGCCAGTAGGCACTCTCCCAAAGTAAGTCTTACGCCTTTGTGCACCATGTGTGTGCCATCTCATAGCATGATCAGTTTTGACATGAAATCTTTGTTCAATCAGACATGGCCTAGAAGTATCCAGACGTTCGCCAAACATTCTTACTCATTGGTGAAGTACTTCTGTTCGGCGTCAATAAAAACCGTCAGGAGCCGACTGGCATATTCAATTAACATCTCTCTGGTGTATGACTGCGCAAATACCCCATTCACCAGCGTCCGCTGTAACAGTAAGTGTCTTCCTCATCCTGGGCAGTTTGAGGGTCAGTTGCGGACCCAGCATCCGGGATTTCACATGATCGAAAGCCTCATCCGCCTTTCTTGTTTATTTCAGCTTTAGATTTCGAAGCAACTGGCGGTATAGTGAAGCAGCAATTGTGTTAAAATCCTTGACAAACCGGCGGTAGTGTGCTGCTCGTCCACGAGACTGTCGAAGAAACCGCTGTGAAATATGAACAGCAAAATCCTCGATCTTTCCAATTTTTCTGGGTTAACTTCTCCGTGACCCATTTTATTCCCCAGCAGTGTCACCGAACTCTGAGCCAGTTGTGTCTTGGCTTAACTTATCAGCAGTCCAGGCTTACAGATACGGTTTAATACGGCCTCCGAGTGACTACGTGATCTGGTTCCTTGTTGCTGTACAATGTCGTCTCCATACGCGTCAACATTTTGATGTCTATTCGTTAAACTAAGCGTCAAGCGCAGGAATGTAAATGCCGCCCTAGACAAACCAAGCGGCATCCGTCTGATTTGATATTGGGTGTCCCCAAAAGATAACGTCGTTTTCATCCGGACCCCGCTTAGATGGATAGTTGCCCGTATCCGGAACACAGGCCGAGCACCTTGGTTCACCAGGAATGCTGGGGAGAATTGAAAATCTCTGCAACCGAAGGCACAGGTAAAACCCGATATACAATACGTTCATTCAGGTGCCGGAAATTAACTCAAAAGCTGTATATTCCTTTCGCCTTTTTTCCAAGCACAACTGGGGAGTCGCACGCACTACTAGCTTCTTCGATCATGTTATTTTTCACAATCTTTTGAATTCGTTTATGAACCTCCTCCCGTGTGCAGTAGTGGACGGCTGACGAACGAGAGAGAAATTTTGCGTTAAATCCACGAACAGAACCCAAACGGATCTTCATCGCCTGTGACTAGTTCGGGGTTTTTCTTGACAATAAACTTTACTGAGTGCACATTACAAGACCGGGGCTTTCTGACATGCAGCTTGGATAACCCTTAAGCTTGACTGCGCGCTACCTTGTCACCCGTTTTGCTTGCTCTATGTCAACCACGGAATCTGTCCTCAAGAAAAAATGGCCCCAATATTCGCTATTCAATGTCTGAGCTGATCAATAACGCATGCTGCACATACTTGTCACCTATGTGCATTGAGTGCTTTGACAATCCGTCAACCTACAGTCGATACTCACCCGCTGCTCTCACGGCTAGTGCTCACGGTCTGAATTCAGCATGGTTCTCTCTCCGCGATACTCCTGCTCCCGTCTCAATCGGGTATTACTCCCTCTCGCTGTCTGTCTCCGTGACAGCTTGTATGGTAGCCTGTTTCACTGTACTAATGGCAACCCAACCGGGAAACGAGGACTACCGGTTACGAGAGGCATTGATTCTTACAGTGGTCAGGCCTGCCACACTTGGAGCACCTCCGCGATTCCATCGTTATGGCTGAAAGCTGTTCCACAGATCGATTCACTCTGGTGTGAAGTTCGTCCACTGCTGAACAATTCTGGTTCCCCTGCGGCTTCAACATGGCCATTGGTGCCGGTGTCAGATGCACCACCTCCTCCACACGCAAATGGCCAGTCGCTCTCACCAACAGTTTTTGAGCACCAGGTACGGACTACATTTGTCCCATGAAGTTTTCGGACAGCACCTGGTGGCGCGACACCCCGTCCAGTCCCGGCAAGCGTGATCCAACGTACTTCGATGCAAGGACTTCTTTCGCGACGGTCCAGTCCATCTTCCAAGGGCCACATTCTGGCCGCATCCAGGGCCGCTTCCCCGGTCCCTCGGGAGAGTCTTCAGCGCCGAAAATTTGCTCAGGTTGGTATCCAGTTCAGCAGCCTCCGCTAACTCCACAAGGACCTCCAGGAAGTTTCGAACATCATCATCTTCAAAGGGTTGTGGCCACGAGGTCTTCATCCTTATTCTGGTCATTGCACCAAATGAATGGAAGAAGACCTTCGGTGCTGAGCTGTTTATTTGAAAACGACAAGTGAACAGTCACAGACTATTGGGCAGGGAAGCGAAACTCTCATGCGCATTTTGTTTACAAAAAATTAAATACCGATCTTTTCCTTGAACGCATCCTCTTGAACATTCCTGGATATTCACTGGATGTTGCTCAAGTGCATGCAAGCCCGACTTCCCAACTTCCGTAATATCTCTTACTTTTCAGGGCACGCAAAATTATTTACGAGGAAACATTCTGCTCGCATTCTGCCATCAGTAGTGTGCAACGTAATGCAGGCGGCACACCACTTCTACGACTAACATCAATGTCGTATAAGTGGGGAATTCAAATCACACACCTGTCCACAGGTATACCTGAATATCGCGTTACATTTATTGGTCTCGCATGCCGATCTGGTTGGTAGCAGTTGTCCAGATTATTGTAAATTTTTTTTTCAATCCAAAACAACAATGTTTGCACCCCGGAATTCCAGGGTAACCGGCCATAAAAACGCCGAAAAAATTGCTTAAGAATCCAAGCACGTTCTTTTGTTCTATTCAGTCATTTCTATAACCTGTTTTGAAGTGCTAAGTAACCATTTTGGCAGACCCAATGACATGTTGTTTGTGTTTTCTTCACTGGTTTTCCAAATATTTCTAAATATTTCTCGCGATTATTTTCCAAATTTAGAAAAAGTTGCTTGATCGAGTAGAGGCTGGCTTAATCAGTATAGTATACGCGCGCACTCAAGCCAGCACCGCGGGGCTTAATATTTTGCCTTATTTGCAGAATAAGAAACGTTTTTGTGTGTCACATGAAGCATTTAAACCTTTGATTACGCCTGCAGATACTTGCTTACCCTGCAGTTTCATTCAAAAGGCACCGTAAACATTCCCAGGAGCATGCGAAACCCAGAGCTAATTTGTATACCGAACCTCCGGGAAGAATAACGATTTCAAATGTGCGGCTAACGTAAGAATATTACCTTAGTGTTTTATCCTAGGTTTTGTACCACATCAGCATGCCAAAAATCCGTTTGGCTACGCAGCCAACCTCCTACGCTGCGGTTCAATAGTGAGAGAAACTGTAGAGTTTCTGAAGAGATATGTCTTATGTTTGCTTTCTATTCTAGAAGGCCACGAAACCAAACGACTCACAAAGGCTACTGACAAATTACTATTGCCTTAACTTGCTTTATATTCTGTTCACCGCCATCGAAAAACCTAATCCAAATTGAAGTATTCCGAAATTTTTTCACCATATTAAAAGCGAGTGGGTAACGCAGGGCATGCAATGGAGCGTCCTGACATGGAATCACATGGATCGGAAATTTAAATATTTTTTCTAGCATTAGTTCTTCCTCCACCATTTTTATTTGCGGAAAATGGAAGAANATCCATCCGCCCCTTGCTACACCATTTTTTCTTATTTGTTATTGGTGGTACATAAGAAACCAATGGTTGCTACCAAGGAGACCACCCATAAAAATAGCTCATTATGAGCATCGGCAGTGTTACATGTTTCATTTATAATTGAAAACAAATTGATTCACGCAGCCGGATAATGGGAAAGAATAGGCGGGTTTTCGGTAATATTGGCACAATTTTTTCCACAAATGCAGGGAATGGGACCTCAGACTCGGAATTCCGATTAACTGCCAAGTAAATCTTGCGCCCTAGGCGGCTGACATATCGTCCGTTAGAATAACAACTTACGCAGTGGTAATTAAATGCTCGCTTTTAGCAACCACCTGCATGACAGGCCTCCAAAGCTCCATGTTATCAAACACAAGGGGGGAAATAACTGGTACACGCAGGTCCCACATGATGCGCTTTAAGAGCATTTATTCAGTATCGGTGGCGTCGTGCTTGGTGAAGTTTAAAAGGCCGTGTTGCACGTCATCAGAGTTACAACTACCGGATGTTAGCGAAAATCATAATGAACTCTCTGAAATGCTTAAATGGTAAGCAAGCCGTATTTGGGTTCAACTGCGGTTCCGAGAAATTCCAGATGTTCCTGAAAGGTTAACTGATTTGTTACTGTGTAACGAGTGCAATGGTGATTCTACTAGTGTTGGGGCTAGTCGTGTATAAGTTGAGGAATGCTCGTTCATTGCTAAGGCAGTGAATGAATTTAATCAGGATAGATCAACTACAACCAACGATCGCTTTGATCCTCATTATCCGTTACAAGAGACAAAGACTTTATGATAAGGATTCATTCTGAGCAATAACCTGAGCCACTCGAAAGCAAACTCCGTCTAGAAGTAAGCTGACGGGAGATTATGAACTGAGGCTTGCTTCAAGAAGCCGGATAATTTGCTGTCATGTCCATTCAAAATGATCATGAATAACATATTTCTTCTACCAGATAATCAGTTGTAATCTCCGACTTGTCCTAATCCTCTATCAAAATTGCTGTAGTTGAGGACACCGTTTAAACGCATAACGTAGCCTCATCTTGCAACTAATCAATGGAGAAAAGCAAGCAGGTTTATCATACATCAGAAAAACCCAGTGCAACTTTTATAAGCACGCTCGGCGATTCCTGTAAAAAGGTAGCGAAACTGGTTGGGGAGATGTTTTAGAATAGTATTGGAACAACTGACCCATCAGATCTCCCACCGGCTGTAGCAATTGCAGCGTGATTTCGATTGGGCCGTCCTTTCCAACACAGACCTATTAATGGTGCTCGACGAAGGAGGGTACCAATGTTTCCAAATGCGGTGGCCTCAAAATCAAAAACCTAAACTGCCAAGCAATATTTCTTCTATGCCCAAATATCTTCCTGCAACTTGTGTATACGTATGAAATAAAAAAGGTGCAAGCTGCCGTTATAATTAAGGTGTTTTCATCAATCAAATGCTTTCTGAGTGGGCTCTTTAATTTTAATCCGATGGACACAAAAACGACAAAAAATGCTGAATAAACTCGATACAAAACCTTGTATTGGCGGAAAATTTGATAGTCACACGTGCAGATTAGTTGAACTTTTGGAGAATCTGTTGGTCTGAAGTTCTTAAGTTCATAGTGAATGTGGAGAATTAGCCTGCTTTATGAGGTAGTTTGCGACACCAGACTTATTTCTTATGGAATGAAATGGACAATATCCTGATGGTATTATTACTGGTTTACTAAACAGGGTACTGGCTGACAAGATGAACATCCACTCTCTTAACCAACTACTATCT